TACCACTGGGACAAAGAGAGACTTTTCACTCTGAGTGTGTCAGAAAGAGTGATGAGAAGCCCTCAGCCCAATATTCACACATCTCTCTGGCTAGAAATCTGTGTCTGCAGCTTTGTGGACAAAGGAGGCCTTTCAGAGGTTGTGTGCTTAGCCAGAGAGAGATACACATCAACTGCTTAGATAGGAGACATTTATTAGATTTCTGCCTGAATATAAAAGCCTAATGACTCAGAGACAAGTTGATGGTAAAAAAAATACCTAGGGTTTGGTGTGAGCTCAGTTGTGTCAGCTGGAAATGGCTCCTCGGGGAGCAGAGTGTTATTTCATTGCATGTGACAGCAGTGCCAACCACTGCCCTCACTTCAGCTATTTATCCTTAAATGATGCAATATGGACCTTCTCCAAAGCTATTGTTTGCACAGAGGAAAGAAACTGTCTTACAACATGTTTGTCACGTTGGGTTTTATCAATTTATTTCAGTATTTCTACATATTTTTAGCCGAAATGGCATTTTGCTTTTAAAACTGGGAATACTTTAAAAAAAAAAAAATTATATTTGAAAGTGCAAATGCTTTTTCAACGCCTAAGCAAAAATCCCACTACTCCAAATTGCTCCTGGTACTGTTTTGTTAGCAGCAGTTGCTCATTGAAGGTCTCTCTGCTCTTGTGTCTGCATGGAAGAAAATGTAACTACTGTGTAAGCATTGTCTGAAATCTGTATTTCTGATTTGATGATTTCACTGGTCAGTTTGCAAAGGCAGGATGAGACAAGCAGTCCCTGAAGAGTCGCTTGTGAATATTCCTTCATTTCTTCTTGATGCTGAGGCTGCAGCAGCTCTTCAGTTTCTGCATCTTTTAAATCTGGTTTTGGATTTCAGGGCTGTTGTCACAAGTGAAGAATTGAAAAATAGTCCAGATGTTTTATTTAAAGGGTGTGTGTTTCTGGATCATTCAACCCTGTTTTATTGTGCCACCAAGCTCACTTTGTTCCAGTTTATTTGTGTTTCAGAGGATTGTATTTAGACTTGGTGGGGTTTTGTCACTAAACCTTTATTTATCTGTGGATCACAGGAGGTTTCCCTTGGTGCTGTGTGTGGGAGGGATGAGGTGGGAAGGGAGCAAGATGCTCGTGGCAGGTAGGCTGTGAGAATGGGGCTGGGTGATGATGGGATTTGTTGGAATTCCAGAGAAATGAGGCCACAGACTGGGAAATTCTTGATACTGTTTTCAAAGCTCCTCTGCTGCTGGGTCAGGGTCCCCGAGGGTCTGGGCTGGAAAATAATCCTGGTTCAGAGAGAGACGTTTGCACAGCTCTGATGCCATCTTGTCTGAGCAGGAGAAGAGTCTTGCTGAGTAACATATGGTTTGGTTTGGATCCTCCTGCACTGTTTAGCCTGAGCCACCACAGGATTTTATCATTCCCCACATGCAGGCATTTTTCCCCTGCCAAAATGCAGTTCTGTTGGCGTTTGCAGCAAGGGTCAGGGTGAAGTCAGGAATTATCAGTTCCCATCCCCTAGCATCCTCATCCTCCCCAGGATCTGGTACTTGGTTTTCAGGTTTTTCCATGGAAATCCAGCAGGCAGCTCCTTTTTTCATCAAAGCAGTTAAGTGTTACCTGCGTGGAGGTGCCAGCTTGAGAGGGAGGGGATGGAGAATTTGTGGGATTGAGCCTCACAAGCTGATTTGCAGGACAGGCTTTAAGTGAGAGGGTCACTATCCAAAGAGTACAAAGTAGCCTTCAATAGGATGTACATCTCCTTTGTAGAACCTTTGTTTTAGCAGATAAATTGTAATTGAGGCAGACAAAAAGACAATGCCATCGCTTGTGACTTGCTCAAAGTCAAGTACAAATGTTTGTCATCACTAAAGGTTTTTGTTAGGGCTGTCACAGTCAATCTGTCAAATTTGGATCCCCTCAACATGTGTCTTAAACAGGAAGCAGTGATCTTTTTAATGCTTATATTTAAAATACACTCCCATTAATTTATGTCTGTTGTTGTTGTTGTGGAGTCTAATCCTTCATAAAGATATAATGGGTGTATTTGTGATGAACAAAGACTGATCAGTTTAAAGCAAGGCTTGAGCTCACCCAGCAGAATAGTTCAAAATGGTAGCTCAATAATTCAAAATTATAATGGCAGCTGGAATGTAAAAAAAAAAAAAAAAGTGATAAGGAAAAGGGGAAGTAATGCAGTACTTCATGTAATATTGAGCAGTAAAATCATAATTTTTTTAGAGGACTAGACTATGAAGTACAAATATTAATTCATAACTGTCAGTAAGATATTGTTGAATGGAATTTACCTTAAATATTTATTTTATTTTTTTCTTTATGCTTGGGTTTTTTTTAATGGAAACCACTGTCTTGTTTAGTGGTACTTATTGGATATGATTTTGTGTATAAGTGTTTCCAAATGAGTGCTTTTCATGGAGGGGTGGTGCATGTGTTTTAAATGTCAGTACTTAACATGAGGACTACTCAGTTTTGTGTAGTGCATTTAACCTTGTATTTTCCTGCATCTGGTCACTCGGGCTGTTTCTACCAGCAGCTAACAGCATTATTTACTAATTATAATTTACAAATATGCATATGATTCCAAATTAACTTTTACAGCAGGGCCTTCAAAAAAAGCTGACAGTTATAGGCAATCACTGCATGCCTGCTAAAAAGTCCCAGCATGAGTGCCAGAACTGACAGATCTAGGCTCCAGGACATGGTATGAATTATCAGTGGAGGAAAACACCCTTCATAATCAATTACAGACAATTACACACTGCTCTGCAGCTGATTTTGCCACATGGCATTTAAAGATTCCAGCTAAGATTTGTTTGTTTTTAACGCTCTGCTGCTTGGAAATGCTTGTAGAGCATTCACTGAGAGCTGATTAAGCACAGTGTGTTGGTCAGGGGAAGAAGATGAAGTTAAAATATAATATAATCATGCATTGTTAAAATATAATCATGCATTGATGGGTGAGGGTTGGGTGCAGTGGGCTTTTCTCCTTCCCCAGTGCAGATTTGGAGCTAAAGGTCTGTCTGAGGCTGGTGCTGTTCTCACTTCTGGCCTGCTAAAAGCACAAAGGAAGCACACAGGAATATTTTCTGGTGGAGCTCTGCCTTCCTTTTGAGGTTAACATCTACCATAATGCTTCTTTCAGTGCTCTGCTCAACTCAAGCTGACTTTCACCTTTCTTTCTTTAATTAAGAAATTAAACACCTCCCTGGTGCAGTGTCATCACTTAAAACAGGGTGTCAGCACACTGAGTGGGCTCCCAAGATGTTTAATTCACCTGTGTCAGGTGAAACTGCATGGTGAGGATCTGGAGAACAGAGCTGGAAAAAAGTAAAAAGCATACAGAAAGCTGCCACTTAAATGTAGATTAAAGCTGACCATGTCTACTGACCTTGGAATAGGTAGGATTTTCCTCAGTCTTTTATAGTGTGCTCTAAGGCAGTGAAAAAAAAAAAAAATGCTCGAGGGAGGAGATCAAAGGTTAATTCTTTCTTATTGCAGGAAAGGTGAGAGGCCATTTCAAAACAGAAAATCCCCCCAACCACAGGCCAGGCTGGCTTGGCTTCATCTTTTCTGGAGCAGATTTTTATAGCCCTTGAGCTCCTGTAACTCCTTGTAGTGCTCCAGTTAATCAATCAGGTGAATATTCCCTGGGAGTACAGTCCATTTGTCTTCTCCCAGACACGGAGCAGCTCCTCTGGATTTCTCATCATTCCTATCCACATTAATGCACCTTGGTTACCTCCAGTACCTCTGGCCTATCACACAGTTCTGCTGTGAAGTAAACACGTGGAGTAGTGTTAAAAGGGAAACTGGCAGAGCCTTTAATCTGCTTTTTTTCTATACATTATTGCTATTTAAGCTCTGTGTTTAAAGCGCATCACTGGATTATTTCAGTTTATTGCAAGTTTATATTTATAGGCTTTAACCATGCTAAAGCTGCTGAATGGTGAGTGTAAAAACTAGTGAAAAGATGAAACTCTGGAAGAGATCCAGACAGTGTCCAGTACAATGATTGTATTCATGAATGAAAACCAAAACCAAAAAACAAGACCCCAGAATCCAGAATTCTGGACCATTTTTGATACCTAAGGTATCTACATTTTGTAGGTTCACTTCTATGCCTTTCTGTCCCTTGAAAATAATGGCTGTAATAGCAAAGACAAGCACAGAAAAAAAGGAAATGTAAATTAATAAAAAATGTAATAATCAAGACTTGAATAAAAATCTTGGTAGAATGACTGGAGAATAGTAAGTAGGTTTTGTAAATATGGAGGAAGTGCTCATAGAGTATTGATAGTTTTGTGGTGAGAGATGAAAAAATGGAAGCCAGAAAGAACAGAAAAGTGGAATTCAGGAAAGTAGGGTTGGGGGCAGAGGAGCTGCCACACTGGAGATTTGCACATTTCTTGCTGCTGAGCTGGTTCGTTTCATGAAGCATCATTTTCAAACTGTAGTGAAATAATGAAAATGAGAAAAAAAAAAAAAAAAAAAAGCTGATCAGAGATCAGATTCCAGCTCTAGTTCTCTTGCTGGTCCAGCAGGTGAGTTCCCTTTTGCAGGCTGGCCATGGCAGCACCTCTCTCTCTCAGGACTCCATTCAGTATTCACTCACTGATTTATTTACAGCTCCATAGTCTGCCTTAATACTGCTTTTCTGTTTGTATCCCAAGTGGTCACTGGATTTATTTTCCTAGAGGAATGTGCCAGGTACTTATATTTGCTGAAAGTAAATATTAGCATTCATGATGGTGGGGTGAATGAGGCAGAAGCAGTCCACCTTTCTTTTTTGAATGGTGGCCTTGTGTTTGTGCAGCTTCACTCTCTCTTCCCATGGCCACATCTTGTGGGCAGGAGCTGTTTCTGATATCAGGAAAGGTCTGTCAGCTGCAAATCTGGTTACCAAGATTAATTTTTTGATAACAACCCTTAATATTTTCTTCCTTGCGAAACCTCTTTCCACTCTTAACAGCTGGGTTTAGAAAGATGCCTTTTTTAATCTAAGACCTGCACAACAAAGCTGCAACCTGGTGACATTTTACATAAATAAACCTGCTGGCAAAGTTGATCTCATCCAGGTGATGAGGGTGTGGGTGCTCTGGTGCTCCAGGCTTCCAGTGGGTCCAAGAGAAGAACCTCCTGCTGCCTGGTGTGAGGATGGGTGCCAGTGATGGCTTTGTGGCATCCTTCATCCCAGCCTGGCTGCCGGATTTTGGATTGCCAAGAACGCGATCGTGGCGTGAAGAGAGAAGGAGGATTCACACTCGGGAGGGGAAGACTGGCAATTCATTTCTGTTTTTTCTATAAGCATTTCTATTTTGTGTTAGTATTCACTTGAAGCTCCGAGGTCAGCAGATGTCAGGCTGCTGCTTGCAGGCTTGAGGAAAGAGCCTTATAGAAGATCCCACACCAAACCAAATTTTGTTACACGGGTGGAGCAGCAGCCTCTTTTTTCTCAAAGCATTTATCAATCAGTACTTTTGGTTCTCTAAGGAAGATGTCAGGGCTGATGAGAAATCACGCTCCAGAGTTTCAAAACGGAGTTATTTTTAGTACCTCTTCCCCACATTTCCTGTAGAGTCTTTAGCTAAGAATGTAGTTAATTGAAAACTGAAGTGTTGTGATAGCTTTTTGATGCTTTCAGTATTGGAGACTTGGAAAATCGAAAGTAATAGAATCATATAGACTGGAAAAGACCTTTAAGATTGTTGAGTCCAAATGTAAGCACTGCCAAGACCACCACTAAACCATGTCCCACGTGCCACATCTATGCATATTTTAAATTCCTCTGAGGTTGGTGACTCCACCACTGCCCTGGGCAGCCTGACAGTCCATCCATTGAAGGAGCTGTTCTTAATATCCAGTCCAAACCTCCCCTGGAGGCCATTGACTCTTGTGCTATTGCTTTTCCTTGGGAGAAGAGATGGAGCCCCATCTGGGTGTGCTGATTTGGGAGAAAACGCGGTGACATGGACAACTAGGAGTGGAAAAAGAGAAGTTATTGGTCACCTCTGCTTGTGGTATAAGCTGCTTACTTGGGTATCTGAGGCTAGTGATGTAAATACTGCCAGTTTATTAAAAAAGTTTATATGATAAAAACACCTTCTGAGGGAATAAATTTAAAACTTACATGGTTTTTGATTTGTGGGACAGACTGTATTGGCAGCCTTTAGAGCCAGTATTGTGCTTACAGAGAAGGCAAAATGTGAGAAGAGAGCTCTAGGATCAGGACTGTAGATTCAGCCACTTCCTACCACCATGGTTCTGAGCTGGCTTGGTATCAGGTGCTGGTGGTTTTCAGATTTTGGGCCAAGATTACATCTCCATCTTTTTTTTTTTTTTTCCCCCTTGTTGCATCTTGCATTGCAACCACAGGTGTCGGCCGACTCGAGCTCCTCCATGAACTCCAACACGCCTCTGGTGAGGATCACCACCCGCCTCTCCTCCGCCGCTGATGCCCCCATGCTGGCAGGAGTCTCGGAGTATGAGCTGCCAGAAGACCCCAAGTGGGAGTTCCCAAGAGATAAGTACGTGGCTTGCTCCCTCTGACATAGTTTCTGCCTGTCTGAATGCCAGCATGGCAGGTGGAAGCATCTCCTCATGTCTCCCGGGGTTTCTCTGGCTTAAAGAAAAATCTCAGTTACCTGAAGCTGCTCTGAAGATCGAGATTCAATTCAATTGTCTGAAATCAGTTTGGTTAAATAGAAACTGAATTTCTTCTGCCTGCAGCCTCGATTATATTTTCAGATTTCTTGCAGGTTTTCAGATGCTCTGCTGAAATGTAGCTCCTCTGGTAGGAAGTGAGTTTGGAAAACTCGGTGTGATCTAGACTGGGAAAAATATCCACATGCAAGCACTGCTGAAAGGCAGTGGTGATTTCCCCAAGCAGCACCTCTGAACATTAAACCATGTTTCTTAGTCAACTACTTAATTGGCTAATATTTAAAAAAACATGTAATATAATATGTAGGAGACAGAGAAAGTCTGAATTATGCTATTGGACAATCTTTTCTTTCTTTGACGTCTCTGGATAGGATTTGGTGTTGAGTTTGTATTGACATGCATTAATGGAGATGATTTTTTTAATTTAGGGGAACATTTTGCACGTTGGTGCATGTATGTGCAATTTCCATGGCTCGAGAGTGTTGGGTTTCAAGCAGAGCATACTAAATTTTGATATATTCAAATTCACGTGGCTACATAATATTTTCTCCAAAGTCTGTTGACTAACATTCAAAATGAGCTTTTGGATAATCTAATTAAAACTGCAACTGCAAAGCTTAATATAAAAAAAGACATGCAAAAGAGAGATAATGTTAAGACAGAACCATGATTATTTATCAGAATTAGTGCTAGCTTTAAGAAGCCCTTTTTATCATGGACACTTTTTATCATGGACAGTTCTCTTTGGAAGTTCGGGGTTGTAACTTTTGAATAGACAAACTGTAGTTTTGAGCTTTCTGATCACTGTTGTGGAAATTATTTGATTGGTTTAGCTGAAAACAAGAGTAAAAGTCTGTAATTGCCACCTGCAGCATTCTGGTCAACAGTGGGGGCCTGTATATGTGCTCCTGTCAGCCCATGCCCTGGGGGGATCCACTAAATGCGGAAAATTTTAGAGTTGCTAAACATTTAAACCCAGTGTTCAGCACAAATGTAGGTGGAGCAGATTTGCAATGAAAGGAGGCTATTTAGAGGCAGTTTATGAGGCTGGGGGGCAGCAGGCACACAATGAGGGGTTTGTTACTTTGGTCCTAGCAGGGCAATAACACATAAATTAGCCAGTTTCCAATGCAAATGTTTGTTCTCTGCCAAGACCCTAAATTCAGTTTTAGTTCTGGAGAAAATGTAGGGTGACCTCAGCATAGCATATGCTGCCCTTCGGTCTTTGCACCTTTTTAAAACTTGCATTTGCTTTAGAAACCAATCCAAAACAGCTCGAGGAATTCTCACCAAGCCAGAGCCCACATGTCACAGAGGGAGCTGGCTGCCCTTGGGAGGAGCCACCTCACTTCTGTCCGTGCCCAAGCAGAAAAGCAGGGTTTGAAATCACTTATCCCTCATCTAACACTGCTGCTGATGGCATGACAGCCTCTCCCTGTACTTCATGGTGGAAGACAGGTGCCCATGCTTTTAAGAATGAGTCCCTACATCTGTGATATCTGTGAAATCCTCCTGTTGACCACGGAAAGTCAAGTCCTTAAGAATTTGTTTCTAAAAATGCTTGTCTGAATCTGGCCCCTATGCTGGATAACATTATCAGCATCACACTCACTGGGCATCCTCCTGATTCCTGCCACAGCACTGCTGCTGGATGTCAAAAGGTATTCTCTGCAAGTAAAGGAGGCTGGCTCTGCCCCTTAAGCACTTAGGCTGCAATCAAAAAGATTTTGACCAGAGGCTTTCACGTTTCTTTATTTCTTCTCTTTCTCCCCGTGAAGCTGAGATCGACATCTCTGTGTCTGTCTGTTAGATATAAGCAGGTTTTGCAAACAGGAACATGCTCAACAAAATTCATTCTGCAGAGCCCACTTAGTGACTGCTCCTTTTAGAAGGGTTTGATGTTGGTGCTGTGATTACAACCGAGTTTATTTTTTCCAATCTCTGCCTCCCCTCTCTGAGCAGAGCCTGGGCTCTGTGGGCAGGAGGCTCCTTCTGGTCCTCTCAGCCAAGACTCTTGTGGCTGCAAAGAGCCTTGCAGCCAAGAAAGAGCCCCTGTGCAGGACCCTCTGTGGCTGAAACTTGACTCTCACCTCCTTGCAGTCAGTGTGGAAACAAAGATGACCAGCCATGTCACAGTGACAGGACACGCTGGCCTGTTGCTGGCTGCTTCCCAATTCCAGCCACGCTCTGATGATGCTCTTTCAAAGCTCTGCCCCTCCACTCTGCATCTCCCCACGAGCCACCAAGTGCAGCCTTGAGGAGAGCTTAAAATCTGGTTTTAGTGACTGATGAGCCTCTCTGAGATGCTCACTCCAACCTGACGCGCACCCAGGCCCTTATTGGTTCCATATGATAAACTCCTCGTGCTGCAGCAAGTTGTTGAAAGGCTTTTAGTTGAAAGGTTTTTATATTTAGCCCTGGAATTTCACTGGCTGCACCCCTCCAGCAGATGCTGTGTGTTAATCTGCTGTTTGCACCTCCAGGCTGACGCTGGGCAAACCCTTGGGAGAAGGTTGCTTTGGCCAAGTGGTCATGGCTGAAGCGGTGGGGATTGACAAAGACAGGCCGAAAGAAGCAGTGACCGTGGCAGTGAAGATGTTGAAAGGTAAGAAAATTGGGTGATTAGGGGTCAGAACGGGCAGTGTGGCAGCTCTCAGCCAGAGAATTTTCTTTTGTGGCATCTGAACTCTGTCATCGTTGTGGGGTGGGTCAAAGAGCACATAGCTGACCTCAGCCTTCAGCGGTGTGGGGTGTAAATCTGCACCCTTGACAGCCTGTTTATCTTGAGCAGTGACTATTTGGGAGCCAGGAGATGTATTAGCATTGTGTGGGTCTCTCTGCTTTCAGTTTATTTCATGTCAGAGGCTATCCTTGTGTACATCTGAGCCCATTCGGTCCAGGTGGTTGGTACCAATTTATTTTGAATTTAATTGTAAGGTTATTTTGCGGGAAAGGCAGTGTTATTGGAGGTTTGATAGCTAAGGACAGCTTCTTTATGTCTGGTCTTGCTGTGCTTTTTTATGCCTGGTCTTGCTGTGCTGCCACTTTACATAATAATACTGAAGAGTTGGTCAGTCCACCAAAGAGGCTGAGACTATTTTTTGGCAGGCCATAGTATATAATGTGCATTGTAAACTGGAAAACAAATCCCACATTCTGCATTTTGAGCCACACATATTTTACACCAACTGATGAGACTTACTGAAGCTGAGGCTGGCACACTAAAATATATGAACTGAACCTGTGCCTTCTACAGATGATGCCACAGAAAAAGACCTGTCTGATTTGGTGTCAGAGATGGAGATGATGAAGATGATTGGGAAGCATAAAAATATCATCAATCTTCTTGGAGCCTGTACCCAGGACGGTGAGTAGAGAAAAGAAAGTAAACCAGGACTTTCCAACAGGTCTGTGAAAGTCTCATTAATCATAATTTTTCAAGAGGTTTTAAGGAAGCAGTCATGCCGTGATAGGATTTTTAGGTATTTCTTTAGCTTAACAGCAATATTTTAACTTCTGTTTCTCATTATAGTTGCGGCCTTAATATGAGAAAGGGTCCTATATCATATGAAAACTCTCTAATCCTTTGCTGTAAGGAACAAATGACCTTTAACAGGGCCTTTACCCATGTCTGCTGTTATGAATTTTCAGCCCTGCTTTAGGAGAACTTGCACCCCACAAATTTGAAATGTGTACTTTCACTCCTGGAAAGGTGAATTATCACATAAAGTGATACAGAATGGTATAACGCTCTTGAAATTAAAAAAAAATATGGAGAAACACTTCCCCTTTGTTGTCAATCTCAGGCTATTTTTGGATTGAAAAGATTTGTTTTTCAGTACTTGGTGAGGTCTGAAAGGAGCAGGCACTGGGGCAGGGTTTAGGTACTTTAAGGCACTAATTGTGGCTCTGCCACTCCTGCTGTGGAGCTTTGGGCAATCACTTCCCCATATCCAGACCTTTTATTTTTATTTTTTAAAGCGGTGCTTGCCATTTTCCCATTTCATTGATTCAGTTCATTTATTAGGGCTCACTAAAAGCTTTTTTTTTTTTTACACAAAACCCATTTTACCCTGGGACCTGACCCTGCTTTTGCCATGGTTTTCATCCCAAGGTCCTTTGTATGTGATAGTGGAATATGCTTCCAAGGGGAACCTGCGGGAGTACCTGCGAGCGCGCCGCCCGCCCGGCATGGAGTACTCCTTCGACATCAACAGGGTGCCCGAGGAGCAGATGACATTCAAGGACCTGGTCTCCTGCACCTACCAGCTGGCACGAGGCATGGAGTACCTGGCTTCCCAAAAAGTAGGTGGAACTCAGCAAATACAGAGCTTTTTTTCCCTCGGTTTGATTTTGTCCTCGTCTCATTCGCGCTCAGGAGTTTGCTGGGAGAAGGAGCTGCCTCAAAGAGGTTGTGTAATCCACACCCCTGCAGATCAGTGGGAGAATTCATGCACTTAAAGGTTTTTCACCTTTGTTTAGCAGCATTGCTGAAATGAGGCCCGGAGTGGGTCATTTAAAGTAAACACTGTGCACATATCTGCAGTTTGAATCCAGGAGCACAGGTGGTCACTGGATTACACAAGTCACATCACTCCACCCATGAGGCAGCAGGCTCTGTTTGCCTTCTGTTTCCAGTCAAACCAACCAAATCCTTTCACATCGTGGTGTAAAACAAATTATTTCAGTGGCTGCAAGGACTTGCAGAATAACAACAGGCAGGGTTGAGAAGACCCAAGACAGCAGGGCAAAAATAGTGGGCAGAAGAGGCAAAAATAAGTGGAGTGTATTAGTCACTTGAATTATACACTTTACTGTAAACTGGTGTTTTCAGGAGAGTGAGCTGGTTGAAAGAATTTATTTATCCTGTCATGTCTCCAGACACTTATTTCTAAAACCCATCTTCAAACATTTCTTTTTAACCAGCATTTTGATTAAATCATAGCTATAAAACCTTAAATAGGCCTGTATAACTAACTCTGTAAACATACTGTGGCTTAGTGGACGAGCAATCCTGGATACCCTGGGTGATGTTTGGACCCAAAGGCTAAACCAGAGCAGCAGATAGCAATGATAAGTACTTCCTGCAGGGTGTGGAGTGGTTAGTGGGATTTATACTGATTTCCAGTCATGTCCACTCCCAAGTATGGAGCTGTTTTTAACCAAAGACCAGGACTGAGTGTAAGCCTCCATTCCTGTTGTGTGGAGTCATAATTTTGTTATTGTTTTTTCTGCACTTGTAGAGGTTGGGGAAGAGAGGGAGTCCAGGTTTAATTTTGCTTTTATCCTTTTTGTTTTGAAACAGTAAATTAGTGCAGCAGGGTGGCGTGCGTGACAGCAAGGCACAACTCTTCTAATGGACTAAAGCAGGGGTATTGATTAGGTGACACACCTCAGGATATCACTTTCTGAAATTATTACAACTCCTGCCTGGCAGTGAGCCACATCCCAAGAAAACAGAGCTGATGTGAAAGGAAAACACAAATCTTTTCACTGGCCATCTTGAGAGCAAGTGTCCTCCTGAGGAGCTCTGAAGTGCTGCTGTAGGACACTCCCACGAGCCAGTGCAGCCTTTTTTGTTTGCAAAAGCACTTGACTGGTGCTGTGCTGAGCTGGACAGATTGAGAGGCATTGCCCAAGGCAGAGGGAGAGCAGGGGCAGCACAGAGTGCTGTGCTCCAGATATCCCACCACTTGTGTTTGTATTTCACCCACTATTCTCCCCCTTAGGTGTTGGAACTCAAAATGTCTCTCAGACTTTTTAGAGGGTCCAGGCCTTGGTCAGAGGCATTTTAGACCCTGACAGGCAGCTGCAAACAGCTGTGATTTTGGGTTTGAGCCATGGAATGAGTTACCAACTTTGGAGGTGGAACAAGCAGTCACAAAGGGTTAGATAGTATAGAAAAGTAGTTACAAAATAGAGGGGAAAATTTTTTAGTATTGTACCAGGGGTGTTTTAGCACCTGTACAGGGGGGGTTTTACTTTGTACATGGGGGTCAGAAGTTCTAAGATGGAGGAAAGTGGGCTGATCCTGTTCTTACTCCTTCTTCTTCCTTGCTTCCATGTTCTTGGTGATGTTGGCACTCACAGATTGGTTTAGAGTAGAAAAGCACCATTTAATATAGGTAATAGGCATTGGGGAAAAACTGTAACCATGTAACACGTAATGTCCCATATAAAAGCAGCAGCAGCCCTGGGTGGGGAGAGAAGAAGTAGTCGGGAGTCAGAGAGGATGTCAGGGTGTGTGTGTGCCTCTGCCTGAGCTGTGAGCAAACCACAGCAGCTCAAGAAGAAAAGCTTTTAGATAACTCGCAATAAACTGCCTTGAGACTGAACAGCTAAAGCCTGCGGAGTTTTTCTTTGGAAGCTCAGGTTGGAGGAGAGACTTTTCCACCACAGAAGACCCCTGAACCAAGCCCGGGGTTCTCACACTTGGGGATCCATTTACTGAGTTGGAATAATAAAGAGCTGCTCTCCCCATGGTATTCCCATCATGAGCTGTGAGAAGGGCAGTGTTCTTGTCATTTCAATCCAATAAGGGGCTCGCTGAGACTTCAATAAAGAAAATGGTGAAGGTGATGTTTGTTCACCTACCCCTTTGCCTCACCAGGAGTTTTTGCCTTACAAGCAGTTGTACTTAGAAACAGTTTCCCATTTCCAGTGTTGGATGGATGATTTTAAAAGTAGGAAGCTTGGCCCATGTTGTTTCTGCCACCACAGCATTGCTGATGCTGGGCTGGAGGACTGATGGGATGCTGAAATCATGCACTGCTGGCTGGTCCTGTGCTCATGAGGGCATTGCTGGAGCAGGTTTTTCCTGGGAGTTCCCCATGTCTGACCCAGTGAGGAGCAAAACCTTCATTTTACCCATGTGGGATAAGAGATGTCAGCAGTTTGCTGGGGCAAGTTAAAGAGCAAGAAAAAAACCTGGTTGTTGTATAGCTTTTTGTAGTGTTTCTCTGCACATACTGAAATAAAACATGCAATGTCAAGAGTTATCTAAAATTGAGGAGGGAAAAGAAATATATTTTAAGCTGAAAATAAATAAAATGTCCTGCTGGGATCCAAAGTTGCAATGTTTTTTACCATGCCCTCACTGCCACCTTGTATCAACCCTAATAAAGCTGCTTGGACACAGGGATAGTCAGAGCAGTCAGAGTCCCCTCAGTGTCAGGATAATGCTGACCTGAAGGAAACATCTCTCTGGAGGCAATAGGTTTAGTTTCAGTATCAAAACTGTCTTAAAATCAAACACTCAAACCCTGATTGTTTGGGTTTTTTTTTTTTAGTTTTCCTTTTCATAATTGCATTTTTATAGTCTTGTGGTTGAAGTAATTATATACACCCTAGACATCCTGCTGACAATTATATTAATATCTTTACTATTAAAAAGAGTTGCACTGATTCAGACTGGCTGTTAGGTTTTATCTCTGGTGAGACAGTATAATTTAAGAGAAGCCACACAATAAAAATGTTCATTACCAGTATTTCTGATGAAACTGCTGTATCTGTTCCTGGGCACATGTAAAGGAGAGTGGATCACACAATGCTTGGCACAACTTGGGTCACCACCCAGCTTTCAGCCTTAGCAAAAATATAAGATTTAAACAGACCAGGACTTTCTAAGGTCCTTTGTTCAGCTTGGAAACACCAGCTGAGGGGATGAATTGCAATAATTAAGGAAATCATATTTCACAGGCTTGTAGTGAATGTGTGGGTTTCCCACCTGGTTATTTAGGTTAAAATCTATAAAGGACAATTAGTTGTGGTGTAGAGGCACTTCTACATTTGCTGCAGTTTATTTCACTGGGCTGTTTTTTTCTTCTTTTTTTTGTTTCCAGTGCATCCATCGAGACTTGGCTGCAAGAAATGTTTTGGTAACGGAGAACAATGTCATGAAAATAGCAGACTTTGGTTTAGCCAGAGACATCAACAATATAGATTATTATAAAAAGACTACTAATGTAAGTGGATGGTTTTCTAATCTCTGGAAACAAGCATTTCTTTCAGTGATTCATTTCAGGACTATGGTTGTAACCTTAATGGGCTTCTTGTACAGCAGACTCACTTTTCATCCCAGACAAAAAAGCAGGGATCAAGGACATGAGCATTTCTGTCTCCTCTTACAGCAGGGATAGTTGGTTAAAAAGATAAGCAAAGAGGCTGTGTTTTGGAGGATAAGAAATGCTAAAGCACGAGAATTTTTTTTTTTTATTGTGTCCCTGACTCCAGTCAGTTGTAATAAGTGGAAAAATTCCTGCTGATCCCAGCTGGCTTAGCACCCAGCCTAGGATCTTGGAATACAAACAATGCCAGCAACAACCACAATAAAAATTCTGTTTACTTGTGGTGATGTCACACTCAGCCTTCTGCCTGTGCCTGTACTTAACTTGCTAGGGACAGATTGTGGTGATCTCAAAATGGGGCTAGAGATAGAGAAAATTTATCTGTACTCCCTACACTGTCACTGTTTTGCTGCTTAGCCTGTACCAAATCAAGAAGATAAAGGATTTGGGATGTAGCACTGGTACCTGGTTTGAGCTCCTTACACCTCCTCAGGGATTCTCTCAAGGTCCTGTTGAGCTGCACTTGGGTTTTGATGGGAACTCTGTAGAACCCATTGAGTTCTACGGATTTGCTTTCTATAAATATGACTTCTTATTAACAATCATGTTAAGTGGCTTATTTATGAAAATCACTAAGTGATTAGTGGCATTTTAATGGTAACATCTGCCTATTTCCAAAAGCCAGAACCACCATGTAGAGCAGGGTTGGAGAGGGTTGAACCTTCATTTCAGACTCAGTGCAATTCCCAGCTCTGTGTCTGCAAAGCAACAGGCAGCTCTGACTGTGAGCCTTGGGTCACTGCAAAAGGGACAGGAAAACAAAATTCTTGGGTTTAGTAATCAATTTGTTTTTTCAGGCAGGTCTGTTTTTCAGAATTTTATTAATCGTGGGGTTTTTTGTCTTTAAAGAGCCATAGCAGAATGATACTTCTGATTTTGATCTGCTTATCCTATCATTCTCCTAGCAAGCACTCTGGGAAATTTTTGGGAACTCTCAATGCTTTTAATTTTATCTTCAATGCTTATACCCATTTTTTGTAACAGTCTCTGTACTTTAGCCCATCTTACTGTTGTCTCACAGAAAATGCTCAAGGTAAATGATATGCTAGTTTCTTTAGCAGACAGCTCTTAGAGAAATCATCCTGTAAATTGTTGCCATTTTAATTTCTCTTCCCCTCCAAATTCACAGGGACGGCTTCCAGTAAAGTGGATGGCTCCAGAAGCTCTGTTTGACAGAGTCTACACACATCAAAGTGATGTGTAAGTGGCCTGATTTCAATGGGGTTTTGGGGGTGGGAAGGGGAGGTTGTTTTTCTTTGTGTTTGTTAAAATTTGGGGTATTTCTTATGTGTTTTGCTGTTGTCCTTTACCTTTAAGCGTGTTCATTCTGTTTCACATATTAATAGATGGAACAGGACTTGCCCTTAGAAAGTGAGGATTTTATGGTAGACTGCTAACCAGTGCTCTGTTACTAATCTGCCCAGCTTCAAAGCACATGAAAGGTGGAAAATGCTAACCTCCTTCTGTCACTGCGGAAGTTCCCCCCTTGAACTTATTTACGGATGTGCAGCTACAAAGAGTCTATCTAATTTGCTTGCCTTTTGACATACTCTGGACTTCCTTCAGGTTTAAAAAAATGAAAGGAGAGAGAGAGAAAAGAATGAAAAAAAAAGAAAGTTCCTGAAAACTTCTTCTAAAAATTTGTGCTTATATTCGGTGCAATAAACGTAGGCTGGGTATGCTGGAAAAGTTTTCTCTGATTTTCAGAAGTGCTTCCCAGCAGTACTTCACATGTAATAGGAAATCATTGGACTCTGACACTTCAAAAATCTGTTAATGTGTGCACAGAGCCACTGGCTGATGCAACTGCTCAGGGTTTATTCTGCTTCTTATTACAGTTCTGTGTGTGTTGTGCTTGAAGTAGATGTGTATTATGCAATGCAGATGAAGATCCTGTTTTTTATTTCTTCAAGAAAAGCTATTAACTGTAAAGGGCTGGATGCTTCCCAGCAGAGGTACAAAAGGTTATGCAAGTCAGTGCAGAGTTAAAAAGGAAAAGGGCAGGATAGAGAAAATAAGAAGTACTTCCTCTTTCTTTAACCTGGGTGCAGTTTCCATAAGAAAATCTTAAGGATTTTATGCTCTCTCCTTAAAAAAATCATTTACTGAGGAGTTTCCTGCAATCTCTACATAATTTAAGAAGGAAACGAAATATACAGGTTAAGGGTGGATCAAACTTGTGTTTTAAAATAACATCTTGGCAAAATATTTAAGTGAATGTGAAGTAAACCACTTCGCTGGCTTGGGGCTGAGAGTCAGCCTGAGCTCCTCAGCAGCCAGGGAGCATGAGGATTTCAGTGCTGGGACTTGGAGACTATTGGCCCCATGGTGGCTTTGAAGATGGCTAAAGATAATATTATTGTAAGTTTGTGCAAACAGTTTACTAAAGTAAGGTACTGCAGAGCTGGGGGAGCTGCAGAGGAGCTGGGGAGCCAGTGCAGGCTCTGTGCTGGTGCTCACCTGGCAGAGCTGCTGCCACAGAGCCCCAGCTTGCCAGCCAGGCAGGATGAGGCAGGCAAACTGGCTTAAAAATTATCCCCCTTCATTTCCTAGCAGAAGTTAGCAACAAAAGAAAAGGAGAAAAAAAAAAAAAAAAAAAAAANCACAACTTGGGTCACCACCCAGCTTTCAGCCTTAGCAAAAATATAAGATTTAAACAGACCAGGACTTTCTAAGGTCCTTTGTTCAGCTTGGAAACACCAGCTGAGGGGATGAATTGCAATAATTAAGGAAATCATATTTCACAGGCTTGTAGTGAATGTGTGGGTTTCCCACCTGGTTATTTAGGTTAAAATCTATAAAGGACAATTAGTTGTGGTGTAGAGGCACTTCTACATTTGCTGCAGTTTATTTCACTGGGCTGTTTTTTTCTTCTTTTTTTTGTTTCCAGTGCATCCATCGAGACTTGGCTGCAAGAAATGTTTTGGTAACGGAGAACAATGTCATGAAAATAGCAGACTTTGGTTTAGCCAGAGACATCAACAATATAGATTATTATAAAAAGACTACTAATGTAAGTGGATGGTTTTCTAATCTCTGGAAACAAGCATTTCTTTCAGTGATTCATTTCAGGACTATGGTTGTAACCTTAATGGGCTTCTTGTACAGCAGACTCACTTTTCATCCCAGACAAAAAAGCAGGGATCAAGGACATGAGCATTTCTGTCTCCTCTTACAGCAGGGATAGTTGGTTAAAAAGATAAGCAAAGAGGCTGTGTTTTGGAGGATAAGAAATGCTAAAGCACGAGAATTTTTTTTTTTTATTGTGTCCCTGACTCCAGTCAGTTGTAATAAGTGGAAAAATTCCTGCTGATCCCAGCTGGCTTAGCACCCAGCCTAGGATCTTGGAATACAAACAATGCCAGCAACAACCACAATAAAAATTCTGTTTACTTGTGGTGATGTCACACTCAGCCTTCTGCCTGTGCCTGTACTTAACTTGCTAGGGACAGATTGTGGTGATCTCAAAATGGGGCTAGAGATAGAGAAAATTTATCTGTACTCCCTACACTGTCACTGTTTTGCTGCTTAGCCTGTACCAAATCAAGAAGATAAAGGATTTGGGATGTAGCACTGGTACCTGGTTTGAGCTCCTTACACCTCCTCAGGGATTCTCTCAAGGTCCTGTTGAGCTGCACTTGGGTTTTGATGGGAACTCTGTAGAACCCATTGAGTTCTACGGATTTGCTTTCTATAAATATGACTTCTTATTAACAATCATGTTAAGTGGCTTATTTATGAAAATCACTAAGTGATTAGTGGCATTTTAATGGTAACATCTGCCTATTTCCAAAAGCCAGAACCACCATGTAGAGCAGGGTTGGAGAGGGTTGAACCTTCATTTCAGACTCAGTGCAATTCCCAGCTCTGTGTCTGCAAAGCAACAGGCAGCTCTGACTGTGAGCCTTGGGTCACTGCAAAAGGGACAGGAAAACAAAATTCTTGGGTTTAGTAATCAATTTGTTTTTTCAGGCAGGTCTGTTTTTCAGAATTTTATTAATCGTGGGGTTTTTTGTCTTTAAAGAGCCATAGCAGAATGATACTTCTGATTTTGATCTGCTTATCCTATCATTCTCCTAGCAAGCACTCTGGGAAATTTTTGGGAACTCTCAATGCTTTTAATTTTATCTTCAATGCTTATACCCATTTTTTGTAACAGTCTCTGTACTTTAGCCCATCTTACTGTTGTCTCACAGAAAATGCTCAAGGTAAATGATATGCTAGTTTCTTTAGCAGACAGCTCTTAGAGAAATCATCCTGTAAATTGTTGCCATTTTAATTTCTCTTCCCCTCCAAATTCACAGGGACGGCTTCCAGTAAAGTGGATGGCTCCAGAAGCTCTGTTTGACAGAGTCTACACACATCAAAGTGATGTGTAAGTGGCCTGATTTCAATGGGGTTTTGGGGGTGGGAAGGGGAGGTTGTTTTTCTTTGTGTTTGTTAAAATTTGGGGTATTTCTTATGTGTTTTGCTGTTGTCCTTTACCTTTAAGCGTGTTCATTCTGTTTCACATATTAATAGATGGAACAGGACTTGCCCTTAGAAAGTGAGGATTTTATGGTAGACTGCTAACCAGTGCTCTGTTACTAATCTGCCCAGCTTCAAAGCACATGAAAGGTGGAAAATGCTAACCTCCTTCTGTCACTGCGGAAGTTCCCCCCTTGAACTTATTTACGGATGTGCAGCTACAAAGAGTCTATCTAATTTGCTTGCCTTTTGACATACTCTGGACTTCCTTCAGGTTTAAAAAAATGAAAGGAGAGAGAGAGAAAAGAATGAAAAAAAAAGAAAGTTCCTGAAAACTTCTTCTAAAAATTTGTGCTTATATTCGGTGCAATAAACGTAGGCTGGGTATGCTGGAAAAGTTTTCTCTGATTTTCAGAAGTGCTTCCCAGCAGTACTTCACATGTAATAGGAAATCATTGGACTCTGACACTTCAAAAATCTGTTAATGTGTGCACAGAGCCACTGGCTGATGCAACTGCTCAGGGTTTATTCTGCTTCTTATTACAGTTCTGTGTGTGTTGTGCTTGAAGTAGATGTGTATTATGCAATGCAGATGAAGATCCTGTTTTTTATTTCTTCAAGAAAAGCTATTAACTGTAAAGGGCTGGATGCTTCCCAGCAGAGGTACAAAAGGTTATGCAAGTCAGTGCAGAGTTAAAAAGGAAAAGGGCAGGATAGAGAAAATAAGAAGTACTTCCTCTTTCTTTAACCTGGGTGCAGTTTCCATAAGAAAATCTTAAGGATTTTATGCTCTCTCCTTAAAAAAATCATTTACTGAGGAGTTTCCTGCAATCTCTACATAATTTAAGAAGGAAACGAAATATACAGGTTAAGGGTGGATCAAACTTGTGTTTTAAAATAACATCTTGGCAAAATATTTAAGTGAATGTGAAGTAAACCACTTCGCTGGCTTGGGGCTGAGAGTCAGCCTGAGCTCCTCAGCAGCCAGGGAGCATGAGGATTTCAGTGCTGGGACTTGGAGACTATTGGCCCCATGGTGGCTTTGAAGATGGCTAAAGATAATATTATTGTAAGTTTGTGCAAACAGTTTACTAAAGTAAGGTACTGCAGAGCTGGGGGAGCTGCAGAGGAGCTGGGGAGCCAGTGCAGGCTCTGTGCTGGTGCTCACCTGGCAGAGCTGCTGCCACAGAGCCCCAGCTTGCCAGCCAGGCAGGATGAGGCAGGCAAACTGGCTTAAAAATTATCCCCCTTCATTTCCAAAAAAAAAAAAAAAAAAAAAAAAAAAGAAAAAAAAAAAAAAAAAAAAAGAAAGGCTGGGTGACGCAAAATATTTTTGTTTTGAACAGTCTGCTTTTTCCAAAATATCCTGCCACATAATTGCACTCCAGCTGAGCTGTGAGTGCTCTGTAAGTCATTAAGCTGTGAAGATGCAGTGCTGGGCATAGCCCCAGGGTGCTCAGAGCACACCAGACAGAGGAAAAGAGGGTATTTGGGAACATGCTGGGGTCAGTCCCCATCCTAAATGCTGTCCATACAGCTGATGCACTTCCCAGATCCCTGTCCTGTTCTGGGCAGGCAGACCTGGGCAGAGCCTGGTTTAAACATCTCTGGGAGGGATGGGATGCTCTGTTTCCAGCAGCCTGGCAGATCTACTAATGCAGTTTTCTCTTTGATTTGCAGTTGGTCATTTGGTGTGTTAATGTGGGAGATCTTCACCTTAGGAGGGTCTCCCTACCCAGGAATCCCAGTGGAGGAACTTTTTAAGCTGCTGAAAGAAGGGCACCGGATGGATAAACCTGCCAACTGCACCAACGAGCTGTAAGGACCCAGATGTGCTGCCCCAGGGCTGATGGGCACAGCTGGACTGAGTTCATGGGTTTAGTGCTACCCCCAGCTGAATCAAACACTTCCAGAAGTGCTGGACTCTAAAATCTGGGATATTTGTGAGGGTATAGATGTGTAAGGAAAAGGTATGGGAAGGATTTCAGGAAATGTTTGGCAGAGGATGCTGCTTTACGCATCCTGCTGTGATCCTATTGGAAAAAGATGAAATCATCTGCAAGCCAGTCTCTGTCAGTGTTTTTTACACCCATATTTTCTTGATTTTAATCTTACTAATATGGAAATTCAAAAATGTTGCACATACCACTGATCAAACGTGAGGTACATCAGGCTGCTTTTATACGTAACAAAATATATGTCCTGGTGGTGTGGGGAGTGTGATTTCAGGTATTGCAATACTATATTTACTTCTTTTTTTTGCATTTTAATGTCTTCACAAACACTGCAGTCCCTGACATGCAAAAAATATTGTAAATTAATACCTTTGAAGTTGCTGGGCCACAGAATTGGGCCCACAAAAAGGTGATTTAGGCACTGAGCAAGGGAGAGACAGGAGTAGGAAGCCCCTCTGAGAGCAGGGAGTGTTGCCCAGGTTTGGGGGTTCAGTGGTCCATGAGCAGAGCCGTGTGTGCTCGCTGCTCCCCTTGTGAAGGGCAGTACTGACTGTGCATGAAAAGGTTTGTGAGGAGGACGTGTGATTTTAATTAAGCCAAGCAAATGTGTGTTTCTTCCAGCTATATGATGATGAGAGATTGCTGGCATGCTGTGCCTTCTCACAGACCCACTTTCAAACAGTTGGTGGAGGACTTGGATCGGATTCTCACTCTCACAACTAATGAGGTAGGTGAATTGTCTCCCCCCACAAGCTGCTGGTCGGGAAGAATGGTTCAGGGGACAGATGGAATTTATTCAATTATGAAATCCTGCTCAAGTTCACTTCTTATTCTGTTTGTCATTGTCCTCTGAGGTTACACGCAGCTAAACTATGTATCCTATGAAATCCTCAGTCTCCTGCCATTATGCCTGGAATTATGTAACTAAAGAGAAACACATCTTTAAGGAGCTTTTGTTTATTTCTCTCTGCATCTCTGCATGTTGTTAGTGTCGAGGGATGGCACGTGGCAGGTTGAGGGGCAGTGTTTGTGTTTCAGCAGGAATGGCACGTGAGGGAGGGATGAGGAGCTCGTGGTGGTTCTCATTTGCTGGCTCAGTTTGAATCCCAGCCATGCTATGTAGGTCAGAAGAGGAGAAATCGTCAATGGCAGATTTCAGATGATGTGTCTGAGAGTGAATTAGGTTCACTGCAACAGCTCTCTGTGGAGGGAGTGAGGACCCACGGGGGATGTGCAAACAGCCATCCAATTATCCAAAGGTCCTGCCTAGCACTGCTTCAGGTTGGGGTATGTGAATGCAGGAAGGTTTTATTTGAAGAGCGTTCTTTCAGAGGTCTGAGATATTATTAGTGTTAGCAAGGAACACACTGATTAGGGTATTCACACAGGAATCAGTCCTTTTATCACTGAACCACATGCACCTGTGAGGAAAATCACAAGTGATGGAAATGTTGATTCTTTTGGTGGAAATTTTTTTTGAGAGACAATACTTGGTGTCCCAGAAATATTCTACAAACTCTATTACTTCTGAGAAATAAAATGTCTAACAGGAGAAAAAAAGAACAAAGCAGTTACACAAGAAAGTTGCAACAACTGGGTTTGACCATTTCATTTGTATTTGTTATTGCTTCTTTGTAGGGAAAAAAAAAAAAGATTTGAATCACTCTTGTGTGGCTCCTCAACATTATGTTCTAATTTTTTAGAATTGTCAGAGAAATAAAAAATGGATTGTGGAGCAGCTTTTGGAAAGCTTTTTCACAAAGGAGATGGCAGGAGAACCTGAGTAAAGAGGTGGTGTTTTTTATGATCATTTTTATGATTATTTTTATGCCCAGTAGATCTGGTTGAAAAAGATTCTTTGGCTTCAGTAGCGGCTGTAAATTTATCTGGGTTCTGTTTTTAAGGCTTACTCTAAAAAGTGGCACCTTCAGGGCTGGCTGAGCGATATGGAAGGAATATGCTCTCCCTATGGAGTCGTGGATGGAGCTCTGTGTCCTGTTACCATGTTCGCCTCATCCCGTACTCCCTGCATCTCTTCCTGCCTAATTCATATATGATTTCACAAGCCCAGTTGGAGGTGGGCTGGCTGCCACTGCGGAGTGCTGGGTGGCTTGGACTGGATATGTGTTTGCAAATTCAAGAGGGAGGTTCTGGGCTGCAATTCCAAGCCTGGGAAAGGATATTGCTTTCTTTTTTTGCGTGTGTTTAACCGTCGAGCCTTCCCAACCCCGTACTGCTCACAGACCTGGAATGATCTCAAAGTTAACCTGAAAAGGCCTTTAGGGTTATGTAAATTACTTTAGAGTAGAATCATAGGAAAAAAGTCTGGAAAAAGCTTAGGAGCACATCCAGTCCATCTGATGGGCCTATGGCAGGGCCCACTATACGTTTGTCATTCCTGACAGATGTTTATGTAACTTGTCCTTGCACATCTCCACTGCTGTATTTCGGCATCGCCTCTTGACAGCCTGTTGCTTTGTTTTCCTAATCTCTAATCTTTCAACATCAGATATTGCTTTTGTCCTATTTACCCTGGACATAGAAAGCAAATCATTCCACTTGTCCTCGCAGCACGTTTCATGTTCCAGAGCGCTTGTCGTCATCTCGGTGTCCCCTGAGAGCTCCACTGTCTGTGTCCCATTTTCCTTCACAGCTTTGGAGATCTCTGATTCTGTGCAGTCTGCGTGGTCTTCCTGAAGTGCAGGTCCTCGCTTCTGCTTCTCCTCTCCCCACTCTCCCTTTCCCCCCAGAATCACACTGATGGCCCAGGCTCAGTCTGGTTTACCCAACAACTCATTTTGCTGGGGCAGCCAATCATTTCTACTGTTTTTGTGCGAGTAATGATTTCTGCTTAAATAGTAACATGTCGCTCTTTTCCATGTTGGATCATCGCTTGTTGGGTTTTTAATGTGTTTTCTTGCTGGGTTTTTTTCCCCAAAAGACTCTCATTCCCATGTTTCTGTGACCCACATGAGCAGAAGTCACCAGGAATCAGTCTCATGGTTGTGGTGCTTTCCCAGCACCAGAAATCAAACTGGTGTTGGTTCTTGTGCCCCTTGGTGTTACTCTGGCTATTGACACTGGATATGGATCCTGTCTTCAATGCTGAATTAATATCTAGGGTACATCAAGTTTTCTGATATGACGAGCCATGTCTGATAGCCCCTGGGAAAGCCCTGTTTCTTCAAAGACTGGGATCTTTTATTCTTCTATCTATTTAGAAATTGTCTGATTATTTCTGCTCACATAGGGCTGATTTGCTTATCCACAAATATGTATGAGGATTGCCCTAGTGGATTTTTCAAGAGCCTGGGCAGCCACATAGTCAGTAATCAATAGATCCAAATTCTCTCCTTTTGGTTCTTATTAAATTTTCCAGCATTTTAAAACATACCACACCCTCCTTTTAAAATGGTGACCATTTTTTAACTCTAAGATGGTAATGACTGAATCTCTGACTTAAAAAAGGAATGTTAGCCAAAGGACTAACTTACTCCAAACCTAAGCACAGCAGCATAAAATACTGACTGAGGTGGAAGACTTGTCTCGTCAGTGCAATCATAACTTGTGGTTTAGCAAATGAAGAGATTGCATTTAAATGAATGCAGCTGCCTTTAGAAGTTGAAAGAGAAGGAACATTTCAAGGGGAAAAATAACTTTATTCTCTTGCCAAAACTGTTGTTTCTAGCAAAAGAGTCTTAACCCAAAATTTGGACTCAGCAGATGATATTTCCTTTTTTAATGACTGCTTTGGTCATGGCTACTCTGGGATGCACAAGACACAAATATGCAGTGTCAAAAAAACCCAAATCGTGTGAATTTGGTTTTGTTTTTCCTTCAGATCTTTTTTGCACGTATGCCACTGCATGTTGAAACACAAATTTAATATCACAGAATATAAAACAGGGATTCAAAGTGACCAAAGGCATACGAAGTTGGAAGCGTCTTTTGCTCTCCAAATCACTACCATGTGCTAAAGAAAAATGGTTCTATTTAGGATGAAGTTTCATTTTTATCATTGCGAGTGAAAAGCCCTCTTTTGATGTGGTTGCCATGTTTATTCCCACTGACACAGCTAATGCTGGTGATGTTGGACTTCAGAAAATACCGTGTTATTGGCTTGTTTTTTCTTTCCCTAGTCGAGCTCCTTGTTTTATGAGGTATTTAGGCAACAAGGCAGTTTTGAAGGCAGCTGATCCACAGAAGCGAGCGCCACTTTCAAACCGCTCTCTTCCAAAATCCGCGCAGCGGTGACGTTTTATTGCCAGCTCTCTTCACTGGCTAAAAACTGGTTTTATTCCTCTTGCCACAGGAGTATCTGGACCTCAGTGGACCTCTGGAACAGTATTCACCCAGCTACCCCGACACGAGGAGCTCGTGTTCCTCGGGGGACGACTCCGTGTTCTCTCCCGACCCGATGCCTTACGAACCTTGTCTCCCCAAGTACCAGCACATGAACGGGAGTGTGAAAACATGAAAAGAGGAGCAAAGAGGCAAGAACATCAAGCTACCTACCCCAGGCAAAGCAAAAGCTTTTCTCCAGGACCTTCATGTTTCTGCTTGTACATAGGAAATACGGAAAATAAAAAAAGAGAGAAGAAAGAGGGGAAAAAAAAAAACAATTTGGAGGAAAGCAGTCAGAACCTACATAAAGATTCTCATCACTTGCAGCTTTCAGATGTTCCCAAGAAAGAAGAATGTTTATGAACTATGTCTAGATACCCATTGCTATCAATTTTCTGGCTTCCTGTGAGCTGCAACAGACTTTGTTTGTACAATGGACCAGTTGGACTTGAGGCGAACTCTGGGTCTGCCTTTCTTGTTTATTTTGTAATATTTGGAGAAAATATATGTTGGCACACACTTACAGAGCACAAATGCAGTATATAGGTGCTGGATGTATGTAAATATATTCAAAAATATGTATAAATATATATTATATATATTTACAATGAATTATTTTTTGTATTGATTTAAAAAATGGATGTCCCAATCCACCTAGCAAATTAGTCTCTTTTTTAACAGCTATTTGCTAAATGCTGTTCTTACACAGAATTTCTTAATTTTCACCATCCAAAGGTGGAAAATACTTTGCTTTCAGGGAAAATGGTATATCATTAATTTATTAACTAATTGGTAATGTACAAAACAGTTAATCGTTTATAGGGTTGTTGTGTTTTTGTAATTTAAATGGCATTTCTATGCAGGCAGCACAGAGGACTAGTAGATATATTGCTCAGACTTTACTAGTTTTCAGATCTTTAAGAAAATAAATATTTACAGTATATAACTAATTTGTGGGAATTAAACTTTTGATTTATTTGTGTTTAAAAACTGCAGTGTCAGATGATTATTCTTATCAAAACCAAATCCTTTAACAAGAAAGTCTTTTTCTTATAAGGTTCAAAAAGCAGAGTCGTTCCACTCCCCCCAAAAAAAAAAAAAATAAAGACAATAAAGGACATTTTGAAGAAGGTTCTTAAAGTAAGGAAAGGCATGAGTTGGTCTATTACCACAGCAGAACAGACTGCTCTAAAAGGAGCTGAGTTTCTACCCTGAGTTGCACATGCATCAAATTATCTACAATTCTCTTGCCTCAGTTGCATAATAGGTTCCAGACCTTTTGGCCTGGATCTCTTGCCTTTATCCCTCTATTGTAACTTAAGTTAAAAAGAAATAAGTTGTTTATAATGACAGCTTGCCATAGGAATATCAGCATCTTTTTAGGGGATTAATTCATGCTGACTCCAGTATTTCTTTCTGAACCATTCCATAACAGTAGGTGTAGCACTGGCCTCTGCTAGAATATCACTGTTGTTTGCATCTTTTTTACAGAATCTTGTATTTTACTTTCAGAACATCCACATTGATATGGCCATGGAATATGAATGCAAATTTCACTATTTTATGTGGTGGTGTGTTTTTGGTTTGGTTTTTTTTTTTATAATTTTTTAATTGGGTAAAATAAGTCTTAAAATCTGTTAACTTTTGTACTGACAATAAAATGTTTCTACAGATATTAATGTTAAAATTACAAAATAAATGTCATGCAGCTTATTTTTCCTAATCCTTTGTGTCATACAAAATGGCTTCCTGAACATCAAGTGATGGAACACGTCCAGAAAAGCTTCCTTAAGACCTTATCATAGATCCTATATTACAAAGCAATCCTTTCAGGAATAATACTTTTGCCTCTGTCTTGTAAAATATCTACTCATGAATAGCATGAGTTATTTGAGTAAACACATGTACAGTCTTTGGTGGAAAATGGCTTGAAGTGTTCATAATGTAGACCCAAAGTATGTTCTTTTTTTATTTAGGCTGTACTCTTTAATTAAGTGAGGTTTCTGATTCATTCAGGGGAGGCTGGAGGACCATTTGCATGGGAGATTTTTTTTTTAAATCGTAACAGATGGAAAGAGGGAAAGAGTTTGGCATCATGGCAAGAGTTTAGAAGTTTTCTATTGTACTTTTTTCTCTTTTTTTTTTAAACTTGGAAGCAGAAAGAAGACACCCCAAAACAGCCTGTGCTTGAGGCAGAACTTTATGGTCACATTGCTGCAGGTTAGCCTGGAGAGGGATGTTGGATGTGATCTTCACCATGTGCTCTGGAAGTGCTCCAGACACCAAACTGTTCCTTGGTTCCTTTCTGCCTCCTTCTGCTCTGACTGAAAATCCCATGCCAACCCTAAGAAACTATTTCTAAAAAAGTTCTTGTTAAAAACTGGTGGTTTTCAATTCAGAATTATCTGATTGGAAGATTCCCACTGACTTCACTGGAAACCATAATTCCCTTTCCCCACAGCCCCTATTACAATCAGCAGCAACGGTGACTACTGTGACAGAAACCACAATGTTTGTAATGACACATGTCTGGTTCTAAGATTTTTTTTAAAGCCTCTCAGAAGATCTTGAATCTTGCTTTGCTTGTATTGAAATGGATTTAACTGCATCTCTACTACTTTGGTACCTTTTTAAAATAACAGGATGAAAACATGCAGAAATGTGGTGGAAAGGTGCTGTTAACTAATGTAATTTATTGCCCTAGTTTTGTTTTAAACAGGTGATTTGGTTTTTTTATGTTCATTTTTTACCTCTCAGAGAGTTAGATTTGCAACTTGGAGGTATTCCACAGTTCCACAAATGTTACCTGAAGTCTGTTATGCTATTTTCCTAATTTTATACTGTAATCCCTGGATTAAGTTTTTATTCTTTCCTGCTATCTGAAGACTTTCTTCTCCACTGCCTGCTGACTGATTTCCTTCTGTGGAAACCCTGGCTCTAGGGCAGGGCACAGAAGCCTCAGTTCTGGGGGCAGAAGCAGAATATCCTGTGTGTGTGGAGTTGCAAGAGGAAAGTGGGCACCAGAGAATAAAATGTGGCACTGAAATTTGTTCCAAATCCTACCTTTGGATCGTTCATGAGTAGAAGGCTTGAGGATTTGGGGTTGCTAAATTTCAGATTCCTCATCTGAAAAGAAAGTTGCCATGAATTGGAGCAGTGATGGAGAGTGCATTTTGTCAGGAAGTGGATTTACATGGATGTGGATTCTGTGTGTAATCTGTTCCCTTCAGCACCTCCTTGTTTTTTGTCCCTCTTTAGGTATTGATTTGAATCAACTCTGTGCAATAATATGGGAAAATAATGTAGAAATGAGGTTTCTTACAGCTCAAATCCATAAACAAGTTCATATTTCCTGTTTTGGAGGGTTTCCACGTTTTTACTGTATTTAGTAAGTAGCAGGGGTGATATATATCAGACAAGACTGCAGTTTTTGGCTATAATCTACCAAGTAGCACAGGCTGTATGCATCAGATAAGAATATAGCTTGTTCTTTTTTTCTGTTGATGTTATACCATCCAATATCTGGTTCATTTTGCCTTTACAAAAGTAAGAGTTCAGCTGTGTTATGAGTTTCAAATTTGTCTAAATACAAATAAATCGACTGTTTCTGGAATTTCTGGAAGCAAATGATGAGCAAAGCTGAGTGCAGAGTGTAGCAATTTTCACATCTAGCCCTTGAGAAAAAAGCACCACAGAACCCTGAGGTTTAGAGAGAATCATTCTAATTAATGATTCAATGAGCTCAAAGTGATAAATTAAACCAAGAGATGGTTAATACTAGAGATTTTTCTGTAGTCAAGGAATTTTAAAGTGTATGTATGTTTAGAAAAAGCAAAATATTGTCAGAAGACAAGTCCTTGGACTCTAATGTGTTTTAGTTTTATTTACATTTTTTTAAGTGGCCAAACATACTTGAGGAAAAAAAAGGGGAAAAAAAGAAGCAAATAGTTGATATTCATAACCCCACCCCCCCCAGCCATAGAAAGGAGAAAAAAAGCCAACAAACACCTGGTTTTGAAAGGTCATCTGTCCATTCCGTAATCAGGAAGTTCTGCAGTTGCATAATTTGATCTAATAATTAGAAAAAACTCATTGGTTTTTCCACAGTAAATGTAATAAGGTCGTTGGGATGAAACATAAGGTACCTCCAACAGTTTGTTCTTGGAAAGACTGCCTGTGAAAATGTCTGTACTCCTGAGTTTTTGCTGCCAGAGTCCTGAATGTTACAAGCAGCTTAAATGCAACAGATTCTGTGGAGCAAATCTTTTTTATTCCCTTTTATTTGATTTACCTGTTAATCTTTCCTGTAAAGCTCCAGAGGAGAGAGAAGATGGAGACAGTGCTGGGAGAACAAGGGGAAGAGGTACCAGTTGCTTCAGGGTATTTCTATCTGAATTTTTGAAGGCATTTCTTCACTTTGGGACCACTTGGACACTGGGATAAACTGCCTGGAGAAGCAGTGGAATCTTTCTGGCTGTAGATATTCAAGAATTTGGCTTGCCAGGGCCGTGGATAACCTCATCTAAGGCCCTGCTTTCAACACAGAGTTGGCCAAGATGATCTCCAGGGTCCTTTCCAGCTGAAACTTTGTGATTTTGCAAATCTGTGTTGTTGGCCAAAGGTAACCCAGATCTGCAGCAGTCCTGGAAAGCTGTGCTGGCACATGTGGAGGCTGTCAGTGGGATGCATTGTTCAGTAAATTCAATTTAGTGATGCATTTAACAAGAGAGATCCCCTCTATTAAGGACGTTAAATGTCAGGTCCTGGCTTGTTTGTGATTATCACAGCTGGCCAAAAATTTTTGAGATTGGATTCCTGTGCAGTAGAAAGCAGTGCTTTGTCAGAAGCTTTCTAGAGTGAGTGCCCTGCAGAAGATGGAGTATTTTGACTTTATCAGAATGATAAAGAGTCAGAAGGAAATTAAGGTGTTTTATGTTGCAGCTATTTTAGACAATGGCATATAAAGTCAAAATACAAAATGAAGTATTTAGATTTTGTCAAACCAGAACAGACTAATTCTAAGTGACATCCAGGTACCACAAATAATTTTGCTTTTCACATGTTTTATTTCCAGTTCAGGCTGAAGATGAGGTTTCCTTGAAGAATGCACTTTGAAGGATCAAAGATGTCCATATAGCTCAGACTGTCAGCCAGTATTTTGACAGGTTTTTTCCTGATTCCCCAGCATTTGTCCCCTGGAAGCAGAGGCTGTGAGTGAGGCCAGGGGCCAGGATGGTTTTTGAGATGGTTTGTGATGGGCCTGGTCCCATTTCCCTTGCCCAGCCCTGGGTGCTGGGACAAGGTTGTTTTCCTTGAAATAGTGAAATACTGGGAAAGTTTTTCCAAAATCTTCATTTCCAGGGAGGACTAATAATTCTCTGTGGCAGGGGAGCAGCACATCTTTTCTGCTGGGGCATCTCTGAATTGTCTGAGAGGGTGGAGAAAGAGGCCAGCAAACAGGAGCCCTGGTGTCCGCGGGGAAATCTATGGAATCAATGGGTAATACAATTCATGGGGGGGAAAAAAATCAATACTCCCCCAAAACTGTTCTAAAGACATCTGAGAGAAAGTAGAAGGTGCAATGTTTTGTCTAGATGCGTTTCCCTGGCACAATAATATTTTATTATTTATTATTCATTATTTATTATTATTTATTTATTTATTATAGTTATTATTTATTATTTATTTTAGGGTTTTTAAGCAGCATGAGAATTATATCTAATAATATATATTTGTATTTATTTTAGGGTTTCTCAGCAGCATGCAGGACTTTCTATTCCAAAAGTTTGTTGATGCACAAATTGCCTGCTGAATACCAAACTGAGTGAGGGGTCTGCCATGGGAATGATGCTTTGGGTGTCCAGAGGAGCAGCAGCATCCAGGGCTGGACAGAGCAGGTGTGACACTGCTGGGGAAATTGGGGTTGCATCTTCCTACATGGTCCCAGAGTCTCAAGGCTTGTGTGCCAAACCCTGAGTGCCAAAAGCACTTGAGAATAACCTACTACCACCACAAAAACTCCTGAGGAAATCCTGGCCTGTAGTGAGAAAGCTGAAGCTTTTTCTTGCATGTATACCATCCACTCTTACCAATTTCCTTGAGTCTATTTCAGTTATTTCCAGTAAGATTCTTTTTAAACAGTATTTGCATTTTTCAGGTCAGAGAATTGAGAAAAAAACCCCAAACATTTGGGTTTCTGGAAATTGTAAGTAGTGGAAATTTGCCTATATATTTTTTCAAATTGGTGTTTTCTCTCTCCTTTAAGATTTCCAAGACTTGTTCCCTGACAGCTGTTATAACAAATGGTGGGGCTTCTTCAGCTGATGTAATCCAAGACTTCAGTCGTGTCAGTGGAGTTGTAATATTTATTTATCAACTGGTCAATGGAACATAATCTGTTGATTTGTTCTTTAGAGTCAAGTAGCCCTTTTGTTGTATTTTGCCACTAAAAACACTATATTTATTTCTAGTTATGTATGCAGACTAGGTCTGTGCAAGAAATTCTGTAAAGAAATTTAAAAATCTGTTTGCAGGTTTTTAAATCAGGAAGCTAATGCTACATAAATGTTCAGTAATCACATAATAGACATAATCATGACAGGGTTCTGAGAGGGTCAATAAAAATGTTACAAACCAGATTAAAATGGTAAAAAAAAGGAAAAGTGTTATTATTGTGAGTTAAAAGCAGTGGGGTGTTTTGGGAATTTTCCCCTTAGTGTCTGGCAGTGCTTTGCTTGCCCTTCATTTGACTTTTTGCTTCAATTGTTGACAATTACTCTGAATCCTCATCTGGCTTAATATTTGGGAAACAAGAGGTTCAGGATGGTTCCAGCAAGCTTTAAAATCACCCCAGAATTTCATGCCTGGCCTCTTCTGCATCGCCCTAGACATGAAGGATGTCACTTGGATGCAGGCTGGAACCCTGCAACCTCTGTTTCTCTGCCTGTGTCAGTTGGCTCCTCAGCGTGTGTGCTGAGCTGCCTCCATTCTTGGGGTTGCAATAAAAAAGGAGGAAAAATCTCCTGTGGTTTTCCTTTGGCTTTGTTTCACTCCCTGCAGGCAGATGAGGAGGGAAGAGGCAGCAGCCCCTTGCTTTTCCTGGAGCCACATTTGTTGTCTGTGTTGCTGGAGCCTCCTGCCCTCATCAGGGTACCACCACATCTGTAGTTTAAAAAACACACATCCTCAAGCACCCATATTTTGTGGAGATTTCTTTGTAACCTGACTAGACAGCCACTGGCCCATTCATCCACTCCCTCTGTTTGACACACAGCAGATTTATGGCTCTGGGTTGATGAAACCAAAAGGCAATTAAACACAATCAATCAGCTGGGCTGAAGGTTCCAGGTTCTGCTCATGAAATCCTTTTCAGCTGCCATTAGAGCTGGGGCTTTGAGAAGCCTGGAGTGAAAACAAAGGAAAGATGCTTGTTTTTCCAGGTTTTCCTGGGTGTTTTTTCAGCCTCTCAGAATATACCCTCAAAGGTTCTAAATGGATTTTTAAAAAAAAGAGCCAAGGGGAAGAGAAGCTTGTAGGGGTTTGCTTTCAGTCCTGGGTGTGTGGGAATCCAGGGCTTCCCTCTGGCTGCCCTGGGACCCTGGCAGGGGTCAGGAACCCCCTGGACAGAGCCCCCAGAGACACTGGCTGTGATCTCTGCCCATGGAAAAGAGTTTTCAATTTTACAGGATGAATTACCATCTCTGATTGTTTGATATCAGTAATAATTAAGTGTGGCACAGGTGGAAAAGTAAAATTTTAGGATTCTAGATGAGGGGTCCAAAGGGGACAAGCTGGAGGAAATTGGGTGTGCCTTGTCCTTTTTCTCCTTCTTCATGCCCTCCATGTCTCACTGTGGTGTTGGCATTTTTCTGTTGGTTCAGGCTGGGGACACACTGTCCAACGTAGGTGACAGATATTGGCACGTTCTTGTAAATGCAGCCCAGGGAGTTTCTGGTATTTAATGTTTGTCACATCCCACTGAGGGCAGAACCCCACACGCTGCCCTGCAGGACAGAGCTGGGCAGGGCAGCAGAACATGTGAGAGATAAACAGAATAAACAACCTGGAAACCAGCACAGACCAATTATGGCTTCTGCTTTGGCAGGGGGGCTGAGAGACAGAGACTTTCTACAATCTCAGAATCACCAATAGCACAGATTCTGACAGAAGTGGGGGTAAAGAAGAGCATCAGATGTCCAAGCGGTAAGTCACTGTGTGGTTTCTGCTTTTGCTCTGAGAGGTGCAGCAGACATGAACAGCATGCTGCTTCTTTTTGGGGGGAACATTCCCCCTTCATTAATTAACAGCAAAGATACAATGCAAGCCTGACAGAGTTGCCTGCTGGGTTTGTAAACCCTTTCTTAAACAGCTCTGGGGTTCTTGGTTTCCACTGTGTTGCTCTGTACAGCCTTAGTCCAGCAGCTGACTTCCAGGAAACAACCATCAACCAGAAGCAGCTTAATTTCACTTGTTCATTTATTTATTTGTTCTATGTAACAATCCTTTTTCTCCAAAGCAGCTGTGATATACAGGTAATGAAACAAAAAAAGATTAATTTTTATTCTTCCATCCATTGTATCTCTTTTGAGGAGAAATGCTTGGTATTCCTTGAGTGTGCACACATTAACAAATGTCAATATTTTTTGTTATATCTGTTACCACTACAAACATATGTAAATTGCTATATGCTCTTTATATAATATGAAAAGAGAAAGGCACTCCAGTAATGGTGCCTGTGCTCCTATGCAGTTCATATTGGGTTGATTCTTACAAAAAATAAAAGAATATATTCCTATACACACTTGGGAAGCTGCAATGTCCCAAGAACTTCTTTACTCGGTGGAGAATATCCTGAGAGTTTTCCAAAAATGGGGAAAAAGAAGGGAATCAACTTCCACAGCAATAAGCAAACAAATATTTTTAAAAAATAAGATTTTGTCCTTCTACTCAATCTATATGTTAGGTCACTTCATAAATCTTTTGGTGTTTCTGGAACTTAGTTCTGTGTTTGATAGTCAACAAAGGCCAGCTCCCATTTTTGTGTATTTATTTTTCCTTACAAATGCATCTTTATCTGAACTACTTCTGATTCTGCTATGGAGCCAGTACTCCAGACTCATCACTAAAAAAGGAACAAGGATCTCTCTCAGCAGAGTCTAAGGACATTTGATGCCATTAATAGTAGGGCTTTTGCTAGGATCCATATGATTGAGCTTCCTATGGTTTCAGGGTAAAGCAGTGGAGAAGCTGTCTCCATCTCGAAATCCCCACTTTATGCTATTCCTAGAGAGGTGAGGAGGGTGCAATGCTTGACTTCAAGCATATTGCTTTGAAAAAAATCCCAACATTTTCCTGGTGATGGAACAGCCACAGACATCTAGATCATGATGTTTTTCCCATCATTGATAGCAAAGTGTTGGGATCCTGCAGTGAGCCTGTGAGATTGTGAGCATTCACATTGTGACAGGTGGTTTGCAGGTTGAGATCCAATTCTGGACCAGAGTCTTGGACCACAGAGTCCAGCAGCTGCTGCTCCTGGTGCTCCATGCCCAGAGCAGTTTGCTGTCTCCAAAGGGCTGCTGGGATTTGGAGAAAGGCTCTGCAGCTCCAAATCCAACTCCTTGACAGGATCGTTGCTTGTAAGGTTTATTTTGCCTCTCTGAGCACCTTCTGTGCTTCTTGTTGCAGAACCACCCACCAGAGCTTCTCTGCCTGCAGCAGCAGCGCCAGAGGAAGAAGCAGCTGATGGGGGAAACTGTGCTCTCCCTCATTTGTTCTTTTTTCTCCAAAAGGGAACCCCATCCTTGTTAAAGCTCCCCAAGACACCTTGCCAGACCCGCTTCAGCAGCAAGCAGCTCTCATCCCGGCATTACTGGTTCCCACTTTACCTCCTAAAAATTCATCTCACTTTTATTTTAGAACAAAAAACCTCATTTCCAGGTTCTCTGCAAGATGATCTTCTAAAGACAGCTACTGCATTGACTGTGTAACCTGGACATTGCACACACACAGCTGGATCTTGGATTGGTTTTAAATTTTCCAATTGTTAATATTATAATGTGTCCCTCAGGTCCTTTATTAATGGACAGCTTATGGAGGAGGTCTGGGTTGCTGTTTACCACAGCCCTCAATACTTTGGCATCCCTTGAGTCAAATTGAGCTCTCAGGCCTCTGCTTGCCAAGTTAAATCCTTTTAGCATTTTTATAATCTCCAAAAACACGTTTCTTCATCTCTCAGAGTCAGTCTCTGCACTTCAGTAAGCATTTGTTGTTTGAAATCAGATCATGATGAAATAGTTTAATAGTCGGTCTATGAAAATATTTTGTTTAAAAAACACTCAGAACTTAATTGGAATGAAAATACCAGCAGCTGGATTGTAGTTTGAAGTCAAAAGTCTGAGAAGCAGCTGGAACAGCAGGATTCAGAGAGACACTTCCAATTCTTCCCCTTCCTACAGGAACATTCCAAGGCTGCTCTGTTTTGGCAGGCAGTGAAAAGGACCCACTCGTGTTCAGCTTTCTCTGACCAGTCTCATCTGCTGCTGGCACATCTGCCCCTGAGCTTTGCAGATAGAGCACAAAAACCTCCTGGTTTTCTTTTTTTTTTCAATTTTATGAAGGGTTCTGATGGACTCCATGTACTCCCACAACATCCTTGTCATTACTGGCATGTCTAAGCAATGGCTTGCTCTAGAAGAGAAATGTAATTTCTTCTCAGATCCCCTAATGACACTTAAAGAAGGATATGTGGTAAAGAAAGATTTTGGATTACTTGTTTAATGGACATGGGGCTACTCGTTCAATTGTATTGAGTCTGGTCCTGTGATTTGTGAACATTCTGGACAGTTTATGATGTGTTTTATTTATGCTTGGTTGGAGGAGTTCTTAAAGCTTAAATAGTTGGAGACCTTGGATATGCACAGTAGTGTCCCTGCAACGAGTTCATTGGCAAAATGCTGGAAGTTTTCAGACCAGATCTCTGTCCAATTTCCACTAGATAAAATTCCTTCCATCAAAGGAGTTAATTGATAAGGGTGTAATTAAGTGCCTGAAGTAATTGCCTTCTTGGGGTAGAAGTAATCTCCATACACAGCCCAGCAGCTTCTTGTTTGTATCAGAAAAGACTGGCTCTTCAATTTCTATTTTGTTTTAGATAAAGATGAAAATGGATGTATAAAAAATGTAGTTTTGACACTGAGGATCTAAGAGGTACATGCAAAATACCCTTAAATGAATGCAAACTTACTGGAACTGCCTTTAGAGAAATTATTCTCATTGGATGTTTACTTCCAAATTGCACATATGACCAGCATGATATCTGGATGCCTAAAACCAATTTTTTTTTTTTAAGTTGCAGATATAGTAATACAAACTTGGCACAGAATGCAGTGAAAATGTCAGCAGCCTCAGAAGTCTGAAAGGATCCAGTGGATGAAGCACCCTCCTCTGCCAGCAGCAATAAAGGAGCTCCAGTGAGGACTTTTGGGGCTTTAAAGAGGTATCCAAAGTTATTTAGTCATGGCTGCAATCATCACAGCATTGACAAGCTTTTTGATATGTGTTTTTTTTGGTAGGGATTTTTTATGTCCTGGCATGCAAACTGAGATCAGAGGACATCAATAACAAAATGTAGTTGCCAAACTCACTGGTTAAGGATATAAAGCAGACTCCCAACTCAAAGGTGTTGTCCTTAGTTTATCTCCTACTGAACAATCTGTTTAACCTAAGGTAATCAAAACCATGAGGATGAGGAGAGGGAGCAAGCATGTTTTAGTGCAGAAGGGCAATTATTATCTCCTGTTAACTCGCAGTCACTCCTGATCATACTGTAAATTATTTCCTAGAGCTAAAGTGTGCTCCATTTACATTTGCTAATTCTTTCTTAGCAGTATTTTTTCAGTGGCCATAGGCTTCATGAATTTAACACAAAACTAATTTTACATCAGCAGGATGGGTCTGGGTTACCTGTCTGGGGCCACCTCCATGCTGATGCAGACAGTGCTCAAGCCAAAAATGTCCCAAGGAGGAGAAAACAAATTTAAACAAATTACTTCTAACCATTGGCAACTAATTCTGGAGGGGTTTTTGTTTGTTTAATCCCCTTCCAAATTCTACATTACAAAGATGTTGTCCTTTCTGGACAACACTGTAGACAGCAGGAGTGTCTCACTGGTTTGGCAATGAGAAATGGACACAGATTAAAAATGTGATGCATACTAGACCTGGTGAATAGTTGCCAAAACATTCCATGCTTGGAATATTTTAAAATTCCAATATTTTAAAAATATTCCAATTGCTTGGGTTTTGAAGTGAATTCACTTTTTCTTCCTTCTTTGGACCTCACACACCAAGAGCATTGCAGTCTTGCCATCCCTGACCACGTATGAAAGCAACTTTTAAAATAATTTGCATTAGCAGAAGTTGAATTTTGTATTTTGTATTGCAGATATTGTCCAATTTTATATTTTGTATTGCAGAGATTTGCCCAAGACTTTAAAAAGAAAGGAGACAAAAATGAGTGCAGCACTTCTGTCTGATCACAACAGTGACAATGAGGAAGGGAATAATGCTGCCAGATTTGCCTTGTGAGCATAGCAGGAGAATAATTTTGGGAGGAAAAAGAAAAAGCATAGAAAATGTATTTGTTCCTGCTTTTTTCTGAAGGCTGAAGAGTGGTCACACCAATCCTGAAATCAGCATGTGATGCCAAAAGAGGGGCAGATCTCGGGTGATGGGATGGGAGTGGAAAAGGTCACTTGGGACTACAGCAGGATTCCTGCTGCCACTGGTGAAAGTTTCTGCTGTTTTGGGTGGTGTTTGTTTGTGTGCTGCTGTGCTCAGGGCTTGTCCCCAGGCTGTAAGGAATGGGGAACAACAACCTGGTGCCAGTGGCTGGGAAATACACCTGGGGAGACAGGAGTGGATCAGTGTCAGAGAAAATGGCTCCAGCACAGAGAGTTCAGCAGCTCCATGAACAACTGATGAAAGAAGGGCAATCAAGAAATACAAGAAAAATATTCCTGCTGTGGTTTTCCTAAGGACAGCGTCCAAAGAGGTTGTAATCTGTTCATGGAGTTTCTGCATTCAAGGAAGTGAAACCTGTCAAACACTCGATTGTCTCTAACATTCAATTGAGAAATCAGGTTGTTCATTCCACTCCTAAATAAGCACAGAACCCGACAGATAAACTCGAGTTTCTAGAATAACTGGCTGTCGTGAGGCAGAAAGCTGAGATTCCCAGCTGCAGCCTGGTAAATCTGTTTTCCTTTATCCTTCTGGAGAAGCCAGAATCCTGAGTTGCTAGATTAGGTTTACCTTTCAGACAAGAGTGATTTAAACCAAAATATTTTATCACACGTATCCCAGAGCTCAGCACAAGCCCTCAATTGTGCTCTGCTGAAATTCATGTGAATGCCATCATTGTATTGATCAGTTGACTATCACTGCAGATGTTTGAGGGTTATGGATTCTTTCCTGAGATCATATTAAATCTTAAATTGGGTTTCTGAATTACCAAAGTAAATGAATAAAAGGGTATAAATGGATAACCAAGGAAGTTGCATCAGTTTACACAGCCTGAGGTTGTGAGCTGTACTTTATTTTGTGCCAACTCTGTGTTCCTGCATCATTAAGTTATCCTTGTGGTATCTGGTTGTGGCATTTGATTACAAAATAATTCTGTCATAAAGAAAGAAGCTGTCTTCTATTATAAATCTATGTTTAGTGTTCAGGATTTTCATGTGCTGTGAGGATATCAAGTAAGAAGCAAACCTTTTCTTCATGATTTTGACCATACTCTTGAGCATAGTGGATTTAAAAATCCACTGCAACCTTTTGCTGTTGGCACACAGCATGTGTCTGACCTCCTGACCTCACAGCTGTATTCAGGGAATTGTATACCTCAATGATTTCTTTTTATACAGACCTGTGTTTGGTTAATTTTAAAAATAATTGTTTTGAGTTTTCCTAGAAAGGAGGGTTAGAGACACAGCATGTTCCAGCCTACAAGACACAGCTACTAAAGCACCATGCTTAAAACCCTTATATATAGGGATATAAGTGTTATTTATAGCTGCCTCTCCTTACCTATGTGAGTATGGGTAAATATTCCACTTTTAACTACAGTGCTGCTCTGCTGTTCTTGAAGAGTAATACCCCATGAAACAGAGCTGGAGTGGGTTTTCATACAGTGATATGGAGTCTCAAATGGTGTATGGCTGAGAGGGTCAATAATGAATTATTCTGAAATGCAGAATAATATTTGAGAATCCTGTTCTACACTCATAGGTCAGGTCAGTGGTTTCTCCCACATTTTTGCTTTCAGTTTTGTAACGTTTATGACTTCACCAATACAATTTCTAGCAGACCATTGCAAAATGCTGTACTGGTGCAAGTGGTGGGCAGTGAACAGTGATGTTGGGATGATCATGTGAGGAGGGTGTGAAAGAAGAAACCTTTAAAACTGGTTTTATTTTTGGAGGAAGGCTGATGTTGCATCCCGATTGTCAGACTTGACCTACAAATGAAAATGTAATTATTTCAGAACGTTGAATAGAAAGATGTAGGTGTACATAGACAAACACAGATTTAATTGAAGTACTACTGGTGGACATCTGGAAATAGATATATTTTTTTTTGAACTTGATGTCGTAACAAGGCTTCTAACAAGAGCTTTGGACCTTAGAAAGTAGAGAAATATTCTGGGTTTCACTTTTACCTACATGTCAAAGCCAGTCATTTAGTGCTGAGTATTGCTTTAAATAGAGCAGGACAGATATGTTTCCACTGTCAACCTTCTCATTCCTTTGTGGTTTACAGAGTGAAAGTTGTTGTTTCCATGTGTGATCTCTCTTTCTCTCTCCTGAGAATGCAGAAGGACCTTGGCCTCAGCCTCTGGGCAGCATCCAAGCAGGTCCTTGCTCCATCCCACTCAGGGCAGGGCCCTTGCTCTGCAGCATCTTGGTGATTCCTCTGCCTACCTGACCTGCAAAATCTGTGATTTTCCAATTATCAGGGTGTTCACAGGTTATTTTAGAAGAGAAAACAGTCCAAGAAAAAGCCCAACATCTCTATTCATCTTCAGTACTGCCACGTGCTTGACGTGGTACTTCATACAGTACTGAGTAAAATGAGCCTGTACAAATGGTATGGGTGCAAAAATTAGCATTACACAGTCGATAAATCATGCAAGGAATTTGGTATCTGTGTACTTAATCTAAATTTGTTAACACTGGCAAGATAAAGGTCATTTGGACTCCATGCTGACTCTTGAAACTGGGACGCTGTTCAGAAATTTGAGGTTTCTCCATCCAGCTGTGTACATGTGCCTTGTTATCTAATACTTTAATTGCTAACAAAACACTGGGTAGTGGAGAATATACAGGTCTGTGTCAATATTTAAGCAGGACTTTACTTATGGCTGAAGTTTATTCACCTTGGAGAGAGAAAATTTTTTTGCCTCACTTGAATAACTGGTCAAAGCAAAGGCAGGGTTTCAACTTGCTCCTGTGGTTTGTGCTTACTACAGGCAAAGAGAAAAGTATGTCAGCTATTTTTGAAACCTGCATTTTCAGATCCCTTTTTTTTCTTTTCTTTCTTTTTCCTTTTTCTGGATATTTCAGGAACTCTTGAGACCTCAGAAGTGCTTGGGACCTTTCTCCTTCCCTCTTTTAAATGGTTGAGGTGAAATAACCTCTCTGGTTTGTTACTGATGAATATTTGCCTAAATTCTTAAAATTCTTCCACAAAGGAGATTAGGAGTTGTAATTGTCTCCCCTCTCTTGTCCTTCTCATCACCCCTTGGAAAGCTGAGCCTGGGGATGAGGACTCCTGCAGGCTTACAGGGAAGGGCACCTGAGAAAAGACAGGAGAACCTACTGAGATTTAGCAACCACCACCACTGTCTACCTACACCCCATTCCCAGAGGCTTTTTCCCAAAGTCACTTTCCTTTAAGCTTCTAAATTCTAAAAACTTGCTGTGTTCCATGTCCAGAAGCCTGATTCTTGCTGTGGAGGAAGTTAAAATAAGGGATTGCCACCATACTCAATAAAGCCATAAAACTTTTGGTATGACAATGAAGGAGGGGGTTATAGAGATGAAATATTTCCTTATGCAAACTGGAGCTGTCCATGAAGGAGATGCAGCATTGTGGAGCTGTGAAGTCTCTGCCATGTGCAGAGGCTCAGGCTGGCTGATTTTTCCTGGAATCTGTTCACATGGCCAAAGGATCTGTTTGTTTTTCATACCTCACGTTCACCAACCCGTGGTAATGTTAACAAACCAAGTCCTGAGCTAGTTCCATACTTTGATCATTCTTTTATGCTTCCTGAAATTCTCTCCTGGGCTGATCCTACTTCAAACTTCCCCTTCCATACTGACAGTTGAATTCTTGCTTCTGCTTTTCCCCATTTTTGTGCTATATTTGGACTTGAAATAAATATATAGTAAAATGACCCCCCTTATAGCAAGGCACAGAGGGTACACTCAGTCTTTGTCC